ACAAAGTCAATGAACATAGTTGTCAAGCTCAATTCTAACTCTTTAATTCAGATATTGAAATAATAAAATAATTAAATGTTAGTCAATAAATTAAAATTGACTAATACTTAATTTAAAAATTAAAGGGAATATCTCTTTTTAAAAATAAAAAATTTGACAGAATTTCCCTTTAAATATAAGTTAAATAACATCTAGTTTTAGACAAGGAAGTTTAGATCCCAACCTTCTACCACTAAGGGAATACTTTCTTCAATTTTATTTTACTGCTATAGCTTATGTGTATACAAGAAGTATTTCTTTACTTTTCTGTTCTTTTCTTTTCTTTTCTTTTCTTTTCTTCTTTTTTTTTTCTTTTTTTTCAAACTAGAATAAAAGTAAAATACCTATTAACACCCATGAAGATCAGGAAATCATAATTGTCAAGACGGAATCAACTCAATTAATATTGTTGTTTAAAACACTCGAAATGGTAGACAAAATGAATGAAGTGCGGGCTCAATAATGTTTAAGTAACAGAAAGATGGTTATGGGTTGTGTTTGGGTAAAAAAGTATAGAAAAGAATGCCTCTATCATATTCAAAATCATAAATGCACACGTAATTTTGACCAAAAGCTAAAACAAGTTCTAGAGAATGTAAACCACATGAATAATCACTTAATATAGGAATTAAGGCTCAAGAATATCCTTCCAACAAGGGTTTCACATCTCACTTGTTCATACAAGAAGTTTCAATCGATATGCATTACTCACAAGGCATTAAGACACTTATCACAAAAGCAATCCCTAAGATGAGGATTAAAAAGATCAAAATAATCACTTGAGAACATACTTGAATCCCAAAAGTGACTATAAAGTCTTCAGAAAAATCATTTTAAAAATCCAGTATGCTTAAAAGTCTAAGGATGGCACAGTTTTTTAGAAAACTGTTTGATATAATGAGGGTATATTAAAAAGGCAAAGGTTTGCTTGAAAAAGATGCAAAGGTATCTTTAAAAGGTTCCTCCTACATAGCAATGCAAAAAGCAAAGAGAAGGATAATGGTGTACATTAATAGAGTCCAGGTCACGACCTGAATACAGTGAGGTCGCGACCTGGGTACACAGAGACGCTAAGTCAAGAAAGGGGGCTAAGGTTGCAACTTAAAATAAGCGAGGTCGTGACCTGAAATCATAGAGAGCCCTCTCTTGCCAAAGCCATTCATCAAGTCACGACCTGAAGCAGTGAGGTCGCGACCTGAAGTCACAGAAACTACCAACAAAAATTTTCAAAGCTTGGCCAACATTTAACAAGTAGAAATCCTTTTAGCAAGCATCAAAACAGACAGTAATGATCCAATTCACAGGAATTCACCATCCATAATCAATTCAAAGCCAAATAATGATGATAAAAGATTGGATTTTTTTTTCAAAATATTTTTTTGGCCAATCCAGCAATAATTACAGAATTGAAGCAACACTAGGAAATAACAGAGCAAGAAATCCTCCCCCCACACTTAAACTTGGTAGTGTCCCCACTGTCAAAAGAAAGAAGGGAGAAGAAAAGCAGGACCCACAAATAAGAGCATAGTAAACTAACCATTCATTGCAGAAAAGTAAAAAAATACATCAAAGTGTAGTTTTTAAGTATTGAGTTCGCAGGTCAGAGCAACAAAATGAAAAGAAAAACATAGAAACAAAACAGAAAACAAAAGGCCAAAGCTTTCAATCTTCCTCCGCTCTTCCTTCCTCTTTTCCCCTGACATCTTTCCTTGCTTGGACATTGGCTTCTCCCATCTCAGCACCGGTAGGAGCAGCAGCAACAACACCAGAATATTGCCTCGGACCCTCACTAAAAAAGCTTGTGGCAGGAATCGTGTTCTCCTAGAAAGCAAGTTCATACTCTTATGGAAAGTTGACCTTAAGAGCCCAGGGCATCTCCAACATCAAAGGATCCATAAGCCTCTGCCTTTTGAACTCATGAGACATGGAGATAGCTTTATACACATCAAACTCCTCGCTTAGGTTTGTCACTTGTTGATTGAGTTTGGTAATCGGATCATTCAATGAGGTGAGGTTGAAACTAGAGCCATCCTTGGCTACCTCCTCTTCTAGTTCTTCCCTAATCACCCTTTTTCCTCTCTTTCTCTCTTTGTTGGTTTTTAAGGCGGCATGGCACCTGGTCGTGAGAGGGTCTAAGAAAGAGTCAAATCTGCGCATTGGTATCCCATGTGCTACACACAGATTGGTGATCAACTGTGAAACTACTATAAGAGTTCAGACATTGTTGACACAGTGATCAATCTGGTCCAGGGAAATAATGGGAATGTTAACCGGCTACATGGTTATCAGGAGATATAGAAGGAGTAATCTCTCTTCAGAAACATAAAAAATATAGGCGGATGGCATCATGTTATAAACCATGAAGTTCGGCTAAATCTTGGCTTCATCATTCATGTGCTTACGCTTGAAGACTTTCCGCCCACTTTCCTTTATAGTCCACCCAGCTCCCCCTATCCCGATGGTTTGGAAAACCTCTTACCAGGGAACTTCAGTAAGTCTGATCTTCCATCACTGATAGTCACAGACAGGGACATCGGGCAACTTATAGAACTTCTCAACAACCTCCTGGGTTAAAAAACCTTCACTGCCTCTGAAAGTGACCCCCTATGTCCGTCTATGGTAGAGTAAGTGTAAAACTCTATCACCAACGTCAAATTGGCCTTATTCCTCTTCTTCATAAGTTCCTTAAGGCCCTTCTATTTAGCAAGCTTATAAAAGCTGTACTGCTTGGTTCCTGAAAAGTACTGCCCTTGAACTACCCCCTATTGGCAAATAATTCCACAGCTTTCTTCCTTCAAAGTTTGGTCTCCTCATGAGGGCGAAGCTTCTTTTCGAGCCTGAAGACTTGGGATTTTTAGTGCCAGGCATTTGAGTGCAAAGCAAACAACCAACAAACAACTAAAATAAACACACAAAACAAACAAACCTAGAAAAGAAACTAAAAACTACACTAAGCCTAGAAACCAAGCACTCCCCCACACTAGGCCTATAGTCACCCCTTGCCAAACTCACTTAAGCAAAACGGTTGAAGATATTGAATTGGGACACTTGCATTTTAAAACCATTGGGGAAATCATAAGAAAACCCAAGTATTCATAATTTTCAATTGCCCAAAATCCATTTATTGTAAATCCTTGATGTGTAAAGTCAAAATCCATTTGGAAATTATAGTTTTGAAACAACAGAGGTGAATCAGAGGTTTAAAACCTCCTCTGTGAGCTAAGGTCGCGACCTGAAAATAGTGAGGTCGTGACTTGAACAGACAAAGGGAAATTTTTGAATTCAGAAAGGTTCAAGGTCATGACCTGAAAACAGTAAGGTCACGACTTGAACCCAGAAAGTTTAGAAAACGTAACACGAACCAGTTTGCTAAAAAAACCAAATTTTTTACAGAAAATGCAGTCCCAAGCAGTCCAAAAATAGTTAAACAACATGTTCAATATCTAGCAATACTCTACTCAAGTAAAATCAAAGTCCTAAAAAAAAACAACATTACCTACCCCTAAAAAAACACAGAAAACTAAACCAGGAAGAACAGAAAAACTAAAAATAAAAAGGAAGGATTAAACAGACCTTAAGAGAGTGGAAGGATAGAAGAACTGAACGCAAGGGTAGATAATAGGCTTGTTCACAAACTGCAGAGGTGGATTTGAGAGTCAAGGCACTTAGAAATCACAAAAATCAAAGAATAGAAACAACTGAACAGTTGGGGAGGGAACACACCGTTTAAAAGGCTGAGCAGTTTTGACTTTGGAGGGAATTTAAAAAGATGCAGCTATTGAAGAATCTAAGATTGGAGAGTCACGACTTGGGTAGAGGAACAGCTGTGGGGGAAAAGAGAGGTGAACGTGAGAGGTAAAACTGAAAGGAGGGGTTAAGTGTGGTTTTACAAAAGAAGGCCTAGGGTTTTAAGTCTTAGAATGAATAGAACTTGAATTCAGGGTAGGTTCAAGGGCAAAATGGTAATTAGGATGGAAATAAGTAGGGATAAAGAGGTGAACTCGAAGAAAAACTCTGACTTTTCATGTCAGGTCGCGACCTGATTTAAGTGAGGTCGCAACTTCACTAGAAAGAGGGGGATTTAGGGTATTAGAAAGGCTGCAAGTCATGACCTGAAGCAGTGAGGTCGCGACCTTAACTCATAGAGAGCCTTTACCCAAAGTCTTTCCCAAGTTATGACCATAGATAGAGAAGTCGCGACTTAAACACACAGAGAGTTCCAAAACTCAGACTAACCCCTAGGTCGAGACCTAAAAATAGTAGAGTCGTGACCTGAGTGCATAGAGAGACTCTGACACTCTAGACCCTAAAAAACTTCAAACCTAAGTCCCTAAACAAAATCACTTACCAAAATGCCTACCATAACAGCCCGACTCAGCAATCCATCACCAGATTTTCAACAACTCAAAACAAAACTCCAAAAACAAGTGATGGAAGATTGGGAAAAACTTTCAAAAGTTCAAAAATTTTGAAAAATTTTGGTAAATTAGTGAGAACTACCCATAACAAGGAACAACCCAACAACCAAAACACAAAACCACTTTTAAAAACTCCCTCCCCTACACACTCAAAGCAATGTCCATATTGCGGCACACAATCACGACAAAACATAAAGCCCAAATACAAAACAAAGATGAAAGTTGTGAAGTTCAGTTCAAGACTGAAGCACAATACATCACCCTTCTAGAGAGAATAAAAGAGCTTAGCATAAAGGTGGGTAAACTCAAGAATGCAAAGAAGTGTGTGGTGGTGACAAAATAGAGCCACGAATACAATCACATCAAACTCAAAGCCAAGGGAGATTATTGAAAACAAACATAAAATGAACATAACAAACAGAATTTAAAACTACTTCTACTAAGAACATCCCTTTCACAGTCTCAAACAGTCATAGCAAGAGAATTCAAGCACAAATAAATCAATATAAACAGTAAGAAGTAAAGGAAAGGGATGACCTGGCGTTAAGAAGGCGGTGCGGGCTCTTTATAGAGCTTAAGGAGATGACCATTGCATTGAAACATTTTGCTTATGGCCTCCTCCTTGAGCTCTATCATCCCGAAGTTATGCACTTTTGTCACAATGTAGGGTCTATCCCAGCTCGTCTTGAACTTACCATTCTTGAATTTGAATCGACCTTGATACCTCAACACCTTGTCACCCTCCTTAAACTTCTTTCTCAAGATGTTGGTATCATGGACAAGCTTCATTTTCTGCTTGTAAATGTCTGAGCTCTTACAGGCGTCTAACTGCGTTTCTTCAAGTTCTTGAATTTGAAGGAGTTGGTTCACGCTAGCTTCCTCCAAATCGGCATTGCAACTCTTAACCATCTGGTATGATCAATGCTCTAGCTCCACTTGAATATGATAGGACTTGGTATAGATGATCCGATACGGAGACACACTAATTGGGGTCTTGTGGGTGGTGCGGTAAGCCCACAGTGCATTGTCTAGTCTTAAACTACAGCCTCTGTTAGAGGGCTTGATAATTCGTTCCAAGATGTATTTAATCTGTCTATTTGATACTTCAACCAGGCCATTAGTTTAAGGATGATAAGGGGTGGATACTCTATGGGAAACCCCATATTTTGCCAACAAGTTATTAAGTAACTTGTTGCAGAAGTGGGTTCCCTGATCACTAATTAGTGCTTTAGGTACTCTGAATCTACTGAAGATGGTAGACTTCAGAAATTTGGAAACCGTAGGTGCATCATTTTTACGTGTGGGGATAGCTTCTGTCCACCTAGAGAGGTAATCTACGGCCTAGAGGTTGTAGGTGTAACCATGAGAGGGTGGAAAAAGGCCCATAAAGTCTATCCCCTAAGCATCAAAGATCTCACAGAATAAGATAGGTTGTTGTGGCATTTTGTTCCTTCTACTAACCTCCCCAAACCGTTGGCATTTATCACATGCCTTATAAAAAGTGAATGCGTCTCTAAATAAGGTAGGCCAGTAAAATCCTGTATCTAAAACATTTCTTGCTATTTTTCTAGCACTAAAGTACCCCCACATAAGGTATCATGGCAAGCCTTCAGAATGGCTCGAGCGTCTACTTTCGGAATGCACCGTCTAATCACTTGGTCAGAACATAACCTCCATAAGTGCAGTGGATCCCAAATATAATACGAAGCTTCACTCCAAAGCTTTTGAACCTGAAAGGTGGTCAAGTGAGAAAGGGATTAGACCAGTAGCAATATAGTTAACTAAGTGAGCAAACCATGGTTGAGAAATAGACAATGCACATAGAGATTGGTCAGGGAATGAATCACAGATAATATTAGAATCGAGTACTCCCTTGGTTTCTAAAGGTAGCTTGCTCAAGTAGTCTGCCATATGGTTGACATTTCCAGCTTTGTCTTTCACTTCTATATCAAATTCTTGAAGCACTAACATCCACCTCAAGAGCCTCGGCTTTGATTGAGGTTTGTGGAAGAGGTATTTCACTGCTGCGTGATCTGTAAACACAACCACTTTGGAATTTATTAGATATGGTCTAAACTTATCAAGTGAAAAAAAAATTGCAAACAATTCCTTCTCAATAGTGGTATAGTTTTTCTGAGTTGCATCTAGAGTTTTAGAGGCATAAGCAATCAGTTTCAAAATAGAATTCTCCCTTTGACAAAACATTACCCCCACACTCAAGTTCGAAGCATCATAAGAAATTTCGAAAGGTAAATCCTAGTTGGGAGAGGTCAAAATAGGAGGAGTAACTAACCTATTCCTCAATTTATCAAAAGCAAGCTCACATGTATGGTCAAATTGAAAATCAACATCTTTTAGCAGTAGTTTGGAGAGAGGTAAAGCGATTTTACTAAAATCCTTGATAAACCTTCTATAAAACCCCATATGTCCCAAAAAGGACCTCAACTCTTTCAAGTTGGTAGGGTAGGGTAAAGAAGATATCACCTTTACCTTGGCTTTATCTACCTCAATTCCTTTTTTAGAGATGAAATGTCCTCGCACGATGCCTTGGTTAACCATAAAATGGCATTTTTCATAATTCAAAACCAGCTTCTTCTCAATACATCGTGCTAAGATTTGGTCAACACTTTTCAAGCAATCTTCAAAAGAATTTCCATACACAGTAAAATCATCCATGAACACATCCATGTATTTTTCAATAAATTCAGTGAAAATGGACAGTATACAATATTGGAATGTGCCAAGGGCATTGCAAAGACCAAAAGGCATTCTTTTGTAAGCATAGGTTCCAAAGGGACAAGTGAAGGTGGTCTTGTCTTGTCTCTAGGGTCTATGGGAATTTAGAAATATCCAGAGTATCCATCTAAAAGATAGTAGTGACTCTTCCCTGCTAACTGTTCAAGCATTTGATCAATAAAGGGTAAGGGAAAATGGTCTTTCCTAATGGCATCATTCAGCTTCCTATAATCAATACAAACTCTCTATGAGTTTTGCACCCTAGTTGGGATGAGTTCATTGTTCTCATTTTTAACCACTGTGATCCCACTCTTCTTCAACATGACTTGTACCGGTGACACCCACTCGCTATCAGAAATAGTGTATATGATTCCAGCTCTCAGAAGTTTGTCTACTTCTTTCCTAACCACATCAGAAATTAGAGGATTCAACCTCCTTTGGCTTTGTTTAATTGGCTTGGAATCTTCAGTTAGTAAAATCCTATGGGTACACACAGTAGAGTCTATTTCCTTAATATCAGCTAATTGTCAACCCAAAGCCTCCTTACTTCTTCTAAGGACTCCCATTAAACTAGTCTCTTTATATTCAGTTAAAGAATTAGAAACAATGACAAGCAGTTTATTCTCAGGCTCAAGATAAGCATATTTGAGGTTGGGAGGTAAATCTTTCAGTTCTAAAGTTAGGGGTTGAACAACAAAGGGAATTAGAGTAGAAACATTAGTAAAGTTAGAGAGACTCCCCTTTGTAGACCCTTGTGAAATGCACTCGCTAGCTTAACTTGGATCCACAATGCTTGCTTTAATCTTATCAGATGTTGCACTAAGCTCAAGTTGGTTTATAGCAGCAACAATCTTAAGTTGGTTTGCCTCCATTCCTATATCATTATTAGAGATTAGATCATTTAAAAATCACAAGGTATGGGGTGTAATCTTACAATGTGTATGAGTAGCAATTGAGTTAGAGAGTCTTGGCCCTTTAACCAAAGTCTTTCAAGACATAAGGTAGTGAAACAATTAAAGTTTGAAGTTTTGGAGGTGAAACAGGGGACTCAGGTCATGACTTAATTCCTCCAAGTTGCAACCTTACTTCACAAAGGCCACCTTCTTGGAGTGCTTGGGTTGAAGTCGTGACTTGAGAATCCTCAGGTCGCGACTTAAATTCATAGAGCCCACCTTCTTTATAGTTCTAGTATGAAGTCATGACTTGAGAAAACTCAGGTCGTGACCTAACTTCACCGAGACCACCTTCTTGAGAGGATTGGTCGGAAGTCGTGACCTCACAATAATCAGGTCACGACCTAATGTCACAGAGGCTCATATCCTCAGATTTTGCTCCACTCTCAGTACTGAACACATCTTGAATACCTACATCATTAGCTAATAAACCTTTTCCAAGGCCAACATCAGTTGTAAATGCAGAAATAGAATTAAAACTTGATGGGAAAGAAAAGTCTTAAGAAATAAAAAGCATGCTATCAATTTCTAGGGAATTAATGCATGGCACCTCATCCCTATAAGAACTAGAAAATGAATAGACAGAAGAGAGGGAATTAAAATATTCATCATATGTACTCAAAGATGAGTCAAGCTTATAAGATTCATGTGATGATACAGCAGAAGAATCAATCAATTTAGGTGAACTCATGTCACAACTATCATGCATATGTAGCTCATGCTCATCCCTAGCTTGCTCAACAGCTAAATCAATGGCATTTAAACCTATGAATGCATAATTGTCAAAGGGATAATGCTTGGCTTCATTCATATTAAAGGTTACAACATGGTCTCCTACTTCTATTGTAATACAGCTATGTTTCATGCTTAAGATAGTCTTAGAGGTTTGTAAGAAAGGTCTTCCCAAAACCAAAGTACTCTCATTTACATGTTCATTTGACATATCTAAAACATAGAAATCAACAGGGAATACTAGGTCCTTGACTTGAACTAGAATGTCCTCGATTATGCCATTAGGATACCTAATAGACAGATTTGCCAGTTGGAGCAATACACTTGTGTCTTTAATCCCATTATTCTCTAAGGCTAAATAAACTAACCAAGGCATCACATTTATAGCAGCTCCTTAATCTAGTAAAGCTCCCTTGATATGAACCTTTCCTATGGTATAGGGGATTGTGTAAAATCCAGGATCTTGGCACTTAGCAGGTAGTTCGGCCTTGAATAAGGATCACACATTAGCGCTCACTTGTATTCTCTCAAGGGGTCTAAACCTTTGCTTGTCATTACATAGTTCCTTTAATAATTTAAAGTATTTAGGGTTCCCTCTTAAGAACTAAATTGTGGGCACATTAATTTCCAGCTTGTTAAACAATATGTAAGTATCAGTAGCCAACTCAGCATCAAACTTTTTCTTACTAAAGAAACAGGCTTTAGGAAAAGGAAGGTCTTTAATACATACCTCCTTACCTACTGGCTTAGAGGCTCCTTGGCTGTTGGTCTCTGGCTTGTCTTCCTTTTGCTTGCCTTTGTAAGCCAAGCTCTCTATAGTGTTCTCATCTTTAGTACATACCTCCTTACCTATTGCCCTCTTCATGAGCTCTTCTTCTTTAGAGCTCTCAGACTTACCAAGCCTCGTTAGGGAAAGTGGAGGACTCTCTACCCCTTGTTCAGAACCATCTTTGTCCACTTTTTCACTTTTGAAATGAACTATTTTACCACTTCTTAGAGTTATGGCTTTGAGGCCCTTGGGATTGATCACTGTATTAGAGGGAATGCTGCCTCTGCTTTTGGCATGACTTTTGAACTTTGGTAAATGTTTTTGAACTCGTATTGATACTCATGAGAATTGTTATTTGTTCAAAGTTGATTGTTTTAGTTTCATTGGTCACAATTCTTCAAGCTTGCTTTTATATTGATTGAGTTAATGTACTGTGATTAATCTGGAGTACAATTAATCTTTATACATGAGCATTTGAGATTTAGCCTTGTTGGAAGATTCTTTGAGCCTAATTTTCATTCATAGTGAGTTGCATCCACTTACATCTTTCACTTTCTAGAACTTGTTCTAATTCTTAATCAAGACTTAGTTGCATTGATATGATGAGCATGATAGAGGCATTCTTTTCTAAACCCTTACATCACAAACACAAACCCACATGATTTTATCCATTGCTAACCATTTAAGCCTTCGTCTGTTCTTAAGTGCCAAGAGATGCA